GGGGGGGGTTGGGGGTTGTTTTCTAGATTTCTAAGTACGATGTTCTAAGGCTTCCAGTTTTTGTAAAATTGTTACGGTGCTCGCAACTGCAAAAGATCATATGAGCGCTAATCTGAGTCTAGTACTGCCCCACCTTCAATTTTACCACTGGAAGGCATATGATTTTCAAGGCCTTTATCAATAATTAAGTGTACTAGAAACCGTATTTCTTTCTTTCTTCCTTTTTGTTTTTAAAAGTGAGCGACCTACATGGACTGCTTTAAGTACCACCTCAATTGATTTGTTATCCTTCCAATAAATATTCGGCAGTGTCGTAAGAAACCACATTTCTGCTGCTTCTAATTCATTTTCTCTGTTTTTAGTGACTGACCAGTATTCACAGACATTTTGAAAGGTTGACCACACATAGCGTTTTAAAACTTTTAACATTTGCAAAGTACGTTCTGTTATGCCGTTGCGAGCGCCGTTAAACTTTACTAAAACGAACAAAGTAAGCTCTTAACCTTGTACTCAAGAATTACGCAATGGGACAATTATTATCACTTCTGCCGACCTTAGAACATTTAGAAACATTCTAAGCTTCCACAGAAACTTACAGTGCAAGCAGACAATTTAGAGCTAAAAAACTAACAAACTGTCTATAGCTGGGTACTCATTCTCACTGGGTCTAATAAGGAAAATTCATGTGTACAGCCCTTCCCAAAAACACAACGTCAGCCCCTGATGAGATTCGAATTCATGGCCTTTCTTTTTCGAGCCCCACAACCTAACCACGAGACTACATACGACACTACATTCTTCTTTTTTTGCTGTTGTTTCACCAGATACAGGAAGAGATGGACCTTTGCCTGAAGGGAGACTTCGACAAGAAAGACCGAAAGCAAACGGGAGAACAGAGTGAAAACCCGCAGGCACAAGGAAAAGAGGACAACCCTGACTGGCTGGATCCTCTACGGTCAAGCGTGTCTGCTCCCAACTCCCCGACAGAGAGGAGAACTCCCGCGACCATTGGAGACCAAGAGTCATCATCTTCAGACGATAACTACAAAAGGAGAGGAGATGAAGAAGACGGTGAAGAGACGTCAGATAAAAATAACGACAACGACGATGAAGACGATGACGACGACGATGATGATGATAACGATACATCCGGTTCATCAACGCCAGATGTGATAACCATCCGTCTCCATCCTCCCACACCCAAGTCAAAGACAAACGAGGCCGCTGCTGTCTCTTTCTCCTCTGCTCCTGGGCGCCTGAGGAGTCAGTCTGTGATCAGACCTGTAAGGTCACTCCCTCTCCCGCCATGCCACAGTGGCTACCAAAACGGCTCAGCTCTGACCCATTCACCTCTCAATAAACACGTCATCAGTGGTAGCAACAGCTACAACAACGTCATCAGCGCCAATAATATCGCCAACTACACTTCGACAACCACAACTGCCATCAACAACATGGGCACCACGGTAACAAGTCTCAGTTCCCCGCCCCACCAATCTGGGTACAGTCTATCCCCCGTGAGTCCGAATCCCCCTGAGTTCGTCATCTCTAGCGAAGGTGAGATGACTTTGGAGGAAACAGACGACACCCTGGACGGCAGCCCTAAGCCCCGCCCCCTGGCCAATCACAGCCGACAGCGCTACAAAAAACGTCAGCAGTCTCCGGTTGGGCGTGGCAAAGTCAACAACCACCACAAGCGGACAACAACAGGAAAACCACGCTCTTCATTCAGGAACACATTCCGAAGTCAGAAGTCTTCCAAGAACAAAACTGCGGTCAAACACATTCTCTCCAAAAAGACGGCGAGTAACGAGAAGAAGGCCTCCAAAGTTCTCGGAATAATCTTTGTGGTGTTCGTCACTTTGTGGACACCGTTCTTCACCGTGAACATCCTGTCGGCGACGTGCGAGTCTTGCATCAGAAACATCACAGGGGAGATGATGTCTCTCTTCCTCTGGATGGGTTACATCGCCTCGCTGGCCAACCCCATCATCTACACCATGTTCAACACGGCTTTCCGCCGGACCTTCATTCGGATACTGACCTGCCAGATCAAGAGGTCGTGTGGTACAAAGTCTAGTGACCTACATTACAACATGAGCTACACCACCATGCTGGCTAGTGAGAGGCGCAACACTATGACGGTGGTGTTGAGGGAGGAGTCTCGATAGATGGAAGGATGCTCACGCGAGGTTACATACATGCAGAGAGACAGACGGACTCTCGCAAACAGTTACAAACACACACACACACACGCGCACACACACACACACACACACACACACACACACACACACACACACACACACACATACACACACACACAAACACAGCGCGTGCATACGCACACACACTCAGACAGAACATCATGAGTGCGGTTCCTGAGAGAAGAGTTCAGGTAGACATACGCACATACAGACGCTTGCAAGGTTTCAAACACACACACACACACACACACACACACACACACACACACACACACACACACGCACACACACACACAAACACACACACATACACACACACACACACACACACACACACATATACATGAACACAGGCACACGAACGCATGGAGCCACAATGAACGGATCAGAAGCGTAAGATTGCTTATACAAAAAGACACGACTGTATTGTATTGGGAAAACACCAAACAATGAAAAATACTGCAAAAAGTCGTATCTCTTTTCTCCGCTCATTGGATACAAGAAAGTGACAAGGACTTCGAATTCCTCTTAGCGCTAATGAAATTGATGGATGTTTCCTCCGCCCTTTTTATTAGACTTTCAGCTCCAATTTGGCCTGTCAGGATCTGGACAAAAGGGCTCTGGATGAATGATTATAAAGGGGAAAGTGCACACTTTGAAAACATTTTGTTATGTTTCCTTTTGCTTTACTTTTTTTTTTTCCTTTTTGTTTTTTTTAAGCAAACTTTAATTTTTTTTTTTCATCGTAAGTCTTGGAACTAAACTGGAAATGGAACATGTGTCGGTTTTTATTTTGCATTTATTCTTTAAAGGGTGACGGAGGTAGGTGGGGGGGGGGGTGCTGTTATTTGTTGTTGTTCTTGTTTTATCGAGACAGCCCTCTTTCACCCATTGTAACGTTTTGCTCGCTGAAAGTTTGGGCTTTCTGAAACCTGTTTCGCTCTACCTAATGATCTCTGTGAGACCTCACCTAGACTCACCTCGACGGACGTACATACAATGTGACCTTGTCTCTACTTAATGGAAGATGGTTGGTCTCCTGTCTCTGGCAATTCACAGAGTTGCGTCAAGTTTGTGCCATTTGGGACATTGATTCATCAACACGGTTGTAAGTGGTGAGGATGCATCCAGTCTCATGTCATCCTTGGGTCGATTATGCTGTAAAACATCTACCCAATAAGGACTATAATAGTCTCAACTTTGTTTGGTTTGTCCCCCCTCCCCTCTACACTCTCCCCGCTTATCCTTGCCCCCGCAGTATCAAAGGAGAGGCGAGGTTGAGGATAAAAAAGAGTCGCTTGGAATGTGTATGTGTTTATGTGTGTGTGTGTGCAGGTGTGTGTGTGTG